TTTTTTTTTTTTTTTTTTGATGGTATTTTCATACAATAAATCTTGTCTAGAGTACTTCAAAGTTTTTAGCAATCAAAACGAGACTGCTGCGTGGTTGAAAACGATAGGGCAGATAAAAGAGAAGAAATAAATTTTACATTTTTTTTTTTTTTTTTTAAATGCTTTGATTACGGATAAAATATATAAAGTGTAAAAAGTTAAAAATATTTTTACCTTTACTGTCAGTAAAAAATACTTAAAGATGCTATTTGCTTAGTTTTCAGGTAATATAGTAACATAAAATCAGGTGAAAAACAGTTACTTAACAGCAATAAGATTTCTATGTCTAGAGTTAGCTTTTCGCATATAACATTCTTTTAGTTATAACGTTAAGCAATTAGCTCAGCCTTAGAAAGAAAATCAGAATGTTCATTTTTCCTGCTCAAAATTCTTTGACTAAAATACACAAAAAAAAAGAAGACAATAAACTTTCCACCTTGTCATTTCTTTAAGTTTCTCAAAATTTCTAACAACAGAAATTAAATTATTACTATTGTCAACATTATTGATGTCACTGTCATTACCCCCATCACCATCATTATTTTCATCAATATATTCCCTTATACAGTGAAAAAAATACGAGCGAAAAAAAGCGATAAATTACCTGTAGCCAGAATTTTTTAATTACAATTTAATTGTCCAAAAAAATTTTAAGCCTTGAAATCAGCAATGTATTAAAAACTTTTCAAAAATGTCTTATCACTTTTTGTCAAAAACTCCATGATTTTTAAGCATACTATAAAATTCTTAACCAACTTCTAAAGTAACTGACATTCTTTAAATCAGCAAAAATAAAAAAGAAGACGATGAATGAACATTAAATGAAGTGAAAATTGCAAAATGAGAAAAGAACAAACTTTTCGGTCAACGTGCTTCTTGACCATAAATCTGGGCTTTACAGGCTCTTCACTAACGGTTGAATTGCGCTTCAGATTTGAGAAAGCAGCACGTTGTCTAGCCTGGTTTTCCAGCTGGCCTAGGTTGATCTTACCTAGGCCTAACGTGACACCTCGAGCTGTAGTCAGCATGTCTTCAGATTCGCTTGTACAGTAACACCACCGTTTAGAATCACTTCACCATCAGCATCGATTCTCAGCGAAACAGCTTGGTCTCTGTTCCCGCTTTGCCAGTTACAGAAGAAACGGTGCAAGTCAAGCAGCCAAATTGTTGCTCTCAGTTTTAGTCTTCAAAGATGCATTGCTTTTTCTGCAAAAAGAAAAAAAAAAGTTAGTCTCT